CATCTCCTCCACAATCATGCACTGTTAACTACAGAAAACATTTGGCATTTAGATAAAACATTGTAATGACTGAGGAGAGACAGTGTTTGTGCATGAATGACATATCACCTGTTCAGTATCGGTCAACTTTCCAGCCAGGAGTCTCTCCTTGATCCGATCCCAGACAGTGGCATTGTCAGGCATCTTCTGGGTGTACTTGGGGTTTAAAGCACTGAGCATGTCTCTATAAACACAAAAACAAACATGGCATAACGTTACTGTTACTGTGAGTCAGGGGAAGGTTGCTAACAAGTTAGCTAAACTATTTTCTTACCTGAATGTAGGTGCTTCAGCTTCTGAGAAGGGATGCAGTCTTTTCACCACATGAGCTGTGACTTTTCTGTGGCACTCCTCAACTTTCTCCTCTGACAACTTTCCCTTCGCCGCTAAAGTGAAGGGAGTTTCACGTTGTGGGACCAGCTTGTTAGCTTGAGCAGTAACGTTAGGCTGTAAACTCTGTGACTACGAGCTTTCATCTACAAAAACACATTTGACGCGGTTGCTTATTAAATTTAGAAACTAAACAAACGTAATTTAAATCTTCAATAAAAGTTCACTGAACTTACCCGACTGCGAGGGCTCCGACGAGGAGGTGCTGGCTGTTGGCTGAGCCGGGCTGACGGAGGAGGATGAGGCTTGTGAGGAGGAGGGAGGCCGGCACAACATGTTGAACACGGTACATTCTTTGATTTGTATACCGTGCTGCTGGTGAAGATGTTTTGCCATATTCGTGGTGCATCCTCCATTGCACGAAATACGTTTGTCACAGGTGTTGCACTGTGCTGAACAGTCATCTGTTTTGACAAAATGAAGCCACACTTTAGAGCGCCTGCTGTGCTGCATGATGGTGAACAGCTTATGTTATACAGGTTTGTATCATGTTTTCAACAAAGAAAATATCTGTGTGCAGTCCAAAAAGAGCGGCGTGCCGCGAGAAGCTGGGGGTAGACGCAGCTGCGCATGCGTTTTTAACAGAAACGAGTGTGTGTGGTGAGGGACAATTTTTAGGAATCTAAAGGCAGAACCGAAATTAAAATTTCTTAATGATTCAGGTGGAACCGAGGAACTCGGGACCCAACCCTACCTATACTTTACACATATTTAATGATACCTGCACATATTTTAAGTTTTTGCTTACTTTGAATATTTGGAAATGATCTTTAGTCTTTTCTGTTGTAAGATTAGAGGTTATTGTTTACATTTGCTGGAGAGGAAAACCCAGAGTTGTAAAGCGGCATTGTAAAGAAAACTCCGTGTTGAACAGAGGCGCGCAAAGAATCTTGGGATATGGGAGGCCGCGAAGGATAGTAGCGGTGCATCCTCCGAATACAGGGAAAAGGAGGGCGCATTTGTCAGCTGCATTTGGAGGAGCCTTCGAATTTGGACGAATTGGGACAGCCTTCGCGCAGCGTTGTGACGTAAGCGGCCTTCAAATTGGCCCTTCGAAGGATGCAGACCCTGAATTGGGACACAGCTAATGTGTGCATTTAGGAAGCACAAGTGACTGTGAATTAGTTTCACCTGCTGTGGTGTAAATGAAAGGGACAACAGGTGCAATGGAAAGGCATAAGCAAGACAAGATTTTAGCTTTTAGTTATCTGCTTAAAAAATCCAGTACTATGTCCTGTTGTGACAAACAGAAAGATTTCAGGAGGGTTCGGGGGGTTCTCCCCCAAGAAAATTTTGAAATTCACACGGTGAAATCTCTTTCATGCAAATTCATACAGAAATAGATCAAGGACTTTCAATGACCTGTGTACACGGCTGGACTGGGACAAAAAAATGCCAAACTGAATATTTTAGAAAGTATGAATGTTATGAATGAGAAAATTACAAGTAATCCATTCCTAATTGAGCTGAACATTTTGAAGTTTGAATTAAGTTTGTATGTTGAAAAAAATGTGGAAGCAGTAACGCGGCAAAAAAGTGGGCGTAAGAATCAAGAATTCTAAAATTCCAAAGCAGTAGAACAACATAGGCTGTGAATGCTTTGGCATTCATGCCCAGTGATGGTGAAACTCTATAAAAGGCAAACAATACCCAACAGTTCAACATGTGATATTCTGATGTGGGAGAAAGTCCTACGTCATTTCCTGATGAAGTCTTGTTGCTCGGGGGAAAAAGCCACAGCTTCATTTACAAGGTTTCAGGACTGTTTCACCTCAATTTCAAGACAATACTTCAAATTCACACTGTATCCCACCGAGGCCCTTCCTTGTGCCTCTGTGTGACTGTCCACTGACCCATATACCTACTACTGCCAAAAGTGAATGTGTGCACATGGCTGAAATCTGCCTACTTTTAAAAAACTGCCAACTGTTCCGTAACACATGAGAATAGCTGAATCTGCTGTTCAAATAAGTGATGAATGCATTCTGTGAAAACGGCAGGGAATTATAAAACAGGCCAAGAACACATAAAAGGAAAAAGACAAAACAAGGTTATGTTGCTGTTCAACTACCTTTATCCCAAAATACCATCTCATTCTACCTGTTTTCAGCCAATATATTATTGTATGTTAAAATTCTGGGCTAAAACACTCCCAGTGTTTACAAAAGATGACAGATGAGAGATGAAAACTTAAAATTTCCTGGTGAAATCCAGAACCACTGCTCGCTTTAAAGGCCAAGCAGATGTATATCTATATTTATATAGCACATTATCTTACACAAATGTTATTTAAAGTGCTTTACAGGCAAAAGATAAGAAAAATAATAAGATTAAGAAAGAAGAAGATTAACATAAATAAAAGCGCAGGCAAGTTTGATAAAAGTACAGACAAGTTGAATTTGATATCATAAGTAAAAGTACCATAAAAAAAACTGATTAAAACAAAGCTGTGGAAAAGAGAACAGTCTTAAGCTTGGTTTTAAAAAGTGGCTATACTGTATTTAAGTGGAAGTCAGTGCAAGGATCGAAAAACTGGCGAAACGTGTCCTCTCGTCTAGGTGTTTGTAAGTGTTCTAGTAGCAGCATATTGAATGAGTTGTAACTGTCTAATGGTTTTATTGGGGAGGCCAGTACAGAGTGCATTACAGTAATCCACTGTACAAGATATAAAAGCATGAATGAGCTTTTCTAAATCTTGCTTGGATGGAGTTTCTTAATTTAGCTGTTTTTGATATGCCAGAATGATGATTTAATTTCATCTTTAATGTTGCCTCTAAAATTTAAATCTTCATCAATGATTACACCAAGGTTTTTGACGTGGGTTTTAGTTTTTATTCCTCTAGAATCAAGGTAAGCACCACAGACTGTATAACATAATGGAGGTAGTTACTGTGATGTCACCCTTTGGTTTGTGGACTACTGTTTTGAGGCCTCCAGTTCGGCATTTCTCTTTGTTTTTTGGAGCCAAAAGTGACCATATTTGGATGAGAGGGTGGATCTGACTCATAGACTGTGTTGATGCCTTGCAGACAGCCTGTGACTCAAAGCAGCCAAACCCTTAAATATGCATAATTTTGGCCTTGATTAAATGTAAATGGGTAAGTTATAAAATAATTGAACCCCTGTACAGTAGTTATGAATGTTGAAGTTAGGCGCAGAGACCAATTTGTATCAGGCAGTGAACATGTTAATTTCTACTGTAAAGCTGACCATTTTACACAGATGGGAATGGGAATTTATTCTGTTTTAGAGCCAGCCTCAAGTGGCCATTAGAGGTAGTGCAGTTTTTGGCCCCCTTGCATTGGCTTCATTCTCCAGCCTTGAAGGTTGCCGCTTGGATAAACACTAAGCACCAACCTTCCTTCCTATAGGGTCATTTTCATACATAGCATGCCCAAGCTGTTCCTTAATTTCAACCTGACCATTTCTGAGTGTTGCCGAATATACCACTGCTCTGAAAAAGTTTGAATTAATGTTGGGAGTTTTGATTTGTGACTCCAGCACACATAATAGAGTGCCCTAGGAAGCAGTCTTTAAACCCTGAAATAAATTAGCATTTGAGCACTCCCAGTCTTGTCTCAAAGACTGGCACACTGTGTCTCAAATCACATACTTCCCTTAGTACACTTCCATGTAGTATACTATGTGCACTATGAACTCATTGGCATAGTGCGCAAATTTCGACAGGGTAGTGTTGTCTCAAACCAAACACAGCCGTTGTGCAATTACTGGAAATGACGACCGCAGATTAGCTAGCTAGCAAACTAGCATTAGCATTAGCAATAGCGTTATCATTCGCTGTACCAAATCATTACAGACTGCTAAATTAACCCAATATACTACTACTACTAATACTACTACTATACTACCAAGATGGTGACCATTGAGGGCAAGAAGTGTCCATAATTCCACACGCAACTTCTTGACCGTTTTCAGTGCACCATCCAGGTACTCGGGTCCATGTCATTGGTTCGACAGCCCATTGGTTCGACATCCCATTAGTTTGACTGTCTGCGGTGCTGAATGGCTTTCGGCTGGCGTATGGTGCTCCGTGACCTGCTTGAGGTGGAGTAGGCTCACTGCTTATGTGTTTGCCACTTTCTTTTTCATTTTAACCCACACCATGATCTTTTCCTGACCCTAACCAAGTGGTTTTTGTGCCTAAATCTAACCAGACCTTAACCACAGGGCGTCATGATGATTTCGGAACGGACTTTGGAACAATGAGTTTAATATGGTCGGAACAATGGGATGTCGAACCAATGGGCTCTCGAACCAATGGGCAGTTCCCCGGGTACTCATAGCGCACTGCATTTTTTGACAAGGGAACAAGGGTGACGCTAACTTCCGTGTCGACCCACAGAAAAACATCATCCTTGGAGCACTCTATAATGTATGGTTAGTGAATATCTATTTCAGTTACGTGTTTGGCAACTACTCATTTTATTATTTTCAGAGGATATCCTAATTTCAGCTTGACCATTCTTGAGTGTTGCTGAATATATGACTCCCCTGAAAAGGTTTGACTTGTGACTCCAGTGCTGTTCAGCTGGACTGCCCCTTTAAGAGGACCCGGAAGTGCTTGTTAAACCGGATGTGCAGGTTTCCCAATGTGACTTACCTCGGCTACATTGTTTTGCCTTAATACTATCTTCGTTAAGCAGTTTAAGTCTACAAAATGTTTCTTACCAGCGTAAATTGTAAGTTTTTAATGTCGTCATTTAAAGAGTCGCGTGCATGCGTATAAAGGGCTGTCTCGCACGGTGCTAAATTAACTTTATCAGTTAGCTAACGTTAGCTGTTAACTCTCCAGTATCTAACGTGACATTGTTTATAACTTTGCTTCTACCTCCCTTTTAAACTATTTCTGTGGCACTTGGAACGTAAAGTGTCGTGAGTTTCAATTGTTGTCGTGCTCAGCTTTTGAGGCTGGTGGTTAACCTGAGTTGATAGCAGCTAATTGTTAGCCTTGTACTTTAACACGTAGCTAAATATAATTGTCTAACGTCATGTTTGTCGAGTTTGCTTGGCATTAATCATATGACTCTGCTCTTTTTTCATTTCTCAGTGGCCAAGGCAAAATCAAAGTAAGTGCAAGTCCTGGAATAGAAAAATAAATAAAAATGAATCACTGTCAGTTATGTTGTGTGTCACATTCACTTACGTTGTTTTCTATCAGGACCATCCTGGTTCAGATGGTGAGCGCTGCAGGGACAGGCTACTTCTTCAACACGAAGAGGAACCGTCTCACAGACAAACTGGTGCTGCGCAAACATGATCCATTTGGTGAGATATGACTAATCAGATGTTATTACAGATGTAGGCTAACATGCGCACAAAACACTCCATTAAACATTAGTACTCTGTTCTGGACAAACATGTGTCCGTGGTAATGGTATCGGGTTTTAGATGCCACCTGGCAGCTTGTAACATAAGCACCTGTGTCTGCACTGTAGCAGGAAGGTGTTTCATCTCAGATCATTTAAAATGACTGAACAACTGGGACAAAAACTATGTTAACTATGTTGATACTGTACATTCAATCTGTTGGGTCACCTTTGAAGCATTACATAAAAACTGCTGCATACTTATTAAGTTATTGTATAGTATAGTAAACCATGATTTTTTTAGCCAGCATGTTACAGCACAGAAGTGTCCATATATGCATTTGTTGTAATCTTATAAGATTCCAATTTAACTGTCATAATGCACAATAGCGTTTTGCTGTTTCTTTGTGTGTAGATTGAAACACTGAACCCAGTGATGAACAGATTACCTGCCACTTGATATTTAACTTTGGGAGTTAGTTGTCAGAAGTAGAAGAAATGTTGACAACAGTTGCAGTAAATCAGTGTTTTGCAAAAAGGGACCAAGACATATCAATTTCTAAATCAAATAAGCCGCAAGCTCAAGCTCTTGTTGAGCAAAAAGTGCATGGCCACCTATTCTCTGTAAAGGTATACTGTGCAGGACTTTTTTAACAAAAAGAAAAAAAGTAAAGTTACAAAAGTAATCCCTCTCAATCAGTATGCATGGACCACTACAAGTGTTGGGCAGTGTGTATTTCTGCAGAGACCCTGCCATGTGCCTGTATTTTTTTTTTTTTTTTTTTTAAATTTTCTTATTTTGCTGTGGTTGGTACGTTCCTGGGCACAGCACACAGGAGAGGTTGGATTTTATAAAAAGGTAGCAACCAGGTGCCAGACAGTAAGCAGCAAGCATCCAAGAGGAAGCTTTGAAAATCACACACACATCTGGGCTTGGCTTTTACTTTGGCTGGCAATATTGGTTGCCAACAGTCGCCAATAATTCCTGCTTGGTACACCTTTAATAATATGTTATTATGCAATAATGTGTTATTTCCTCCAGATCACGTGACTCTTATTTAAAATCTGCGTTCTGTCGTTGCAGTGAACAAGCACGTCCTGTTCTTTGAGAAGAAGAAGATCAGATCGATTTAACAACGCACCAGAATATATGGACAACGTAAACCTGCTAGGTTTAAAGACTATTTTTTATTGTCATGGATTATACAAGGTGTTTCATCAGTCAACATCTCTGTTTGGCTGGCTGAAATGTTGTCAGAGGATTTCTTCGGGGATCTGTCAGAAAGCTTCTTCTCTCCCCACTGCACCAGTTGAGCATGATGCAAACCCCGGCAGAGCTTCAAGAAAGTCTCGACTTCCATCATTTTAATCTACTACTCACGTCAAAGTGATGTTATTCGTTGGGGTTGTATGTCACCATTGATTACCTGTAAAAAAATATTTGTGAAACATGATATATTTGGGCTAATTACATAAATTAAGTAAATTATGTGCAGTACAAGATACATTTTAGGATGTTTGTTAATTATTAAACAATTTAAAATGACTGACATTGTTGTAAGTTGGCTTGTTATCACATAAAACTGTTATATTGACAGTCAAATTGAAATCACGGTCAGCTTTATTTGACATTAGTTACATCATTAATAGTTCTCAGTCGTTTCATTGCATTGTTCATTCTTTCATTAAAGCAGCTCATGTCATATCAGAGTTGTGTTTGCGGGACCCATTCCAACTGTGGTCCACACACAGTAGTATCACCGAACCGAGTTGCTGCTCTCAGAACAGTTCAGCTGGCAGGTCCTTTTTGAAGGGGTAAGACGTCTGCGTGCCAACAGCCTGTACGCTCACTCCCGCCACCTGATTGGCTCTGCGGGCCATCTCCTCCAGAGGCATTGTAGGATAATGAGCCATGTAAAACGCCAGTGCTCCAATAAAGCTGTCTCCAGCGCCCTGGCAAGAAACAATATTACGAGGATGCTTTATTAAATTCCACCTGTGGTTCAAACCATTCCACTGTGTAATTCTACAGCTGTGCTCTGCTCAGCAGAATCAGAGCAGGCTGCCATGAGTGTGTGTGTGAGGAAGAAAACAACAAACAGTGAAGCCATGTAAAAATGATATAATTCATCTCAAAGCTTTGCTGTTTTAAAATATTTCATAACATATTCTGAAGTGCTTAAGAACACAGTAACTATGAGAAGATGGGGTGGTACATTTTTTAATTCAATATATTGTCAACAGTAGGGGGTGCTATGGCATTTGTTAGCTGTTAGTCCAAGTCTTGTGATGCTGCCTGACGTCTCAACTACTTAGAAATTAGTTACTGAATTGTTACCTTGTGTGTAAGTGTGTCTCAGTCAGCTCTTTTAGGGAAACATCTGTATTTCTCATGTTTACATACACACCATAATGCCAGCAGATGATAAATAGGATGTTATAGGCTCATGACACGTCTTAAATGCATCATGATTTAAACATGGTACCCTTTAGTATTTGGAAAAGCAGAATATTTTTCACTTAACTACAAGGAAAAACAAAAGTCTTGAAATTCTTTAAAAGGCTGCTACTGATGACAATATATGGTATAATCCTCAAATTGTTGCTAATGAACAAATGTTATTTAATTTAATGGTTTTATCAGAAACAACTTCATAACCAGATGCTGGAACAACCAAACAAAAACCCCCCACAGGGTTTACTGGATGCTTTTAAAGTCAGCTGAAAAGCACATGGTAGCTTTAATCACGTGTCAGTGGCTTCACCATAACTGCCAACAGCCCTGGTTTTGGCTATCTGTTTAAACGGATAAACTATCCATTTTCCCCTCATCATCTATTGATAGAGATGGAATGTGCCGTCTACGCCCTGGAGGGGGTTGGCTGGAACGTGATGCTGACGGGGGGGTGGCTCGCTGATGGGAAAAGGCACAATGGTATGTGGCGACACGCTCATGTTTAACCACAAATTCCCCCCCGACGCTGGTTCTCACAAGCCCGCTCCATTACTCATCACTGTGGCCTTCAAAAGAGTTCATTGCACTCTCTCTTCTGAGCACCTCTGTCACCCACCCTCCCAACAACCCTCACCCCCCGACCTCAAAGTAACCCTTTTGTTGGGGGTAAAGTTGTCGGTTGCGCCGCGATGATTCAGTGACATGGGGCAAAAAACAAAAACCCTAACACTGACCCCGGCCCAGCAGAGAGGGCCGTGCTCTGTGATTGACAGGGCACCAGGAACAGAGAGGGGCCACAGTAGCCGGGGCAGCTGGAGGGCACAGTCCAGACAACGTGGATTTTTGTCCACAAGCACCTAAATTTGTTTCATTAATAAGCATTCTTTGTTCAACAGCATGCTACATACAAGCAATGTAGGAAGAGAAAAAAAAGCTCTGATTTGACATTTGAAAGGCCCTTATTGCATCTCACCCCCACCCTCTGCACGCCACTGGTGTGACTCCTGGAGAGATGCTGGAAAGAGTGAGATCAGAGCTGAAACATTTCACAGGCCTGGTGGATTTCCATGTTTAAAGCCATGGTATGTTTATGTCTCCTGTCTGGTAGCTGGGCTGGGCCACAATACAGTCCAGCATTTGGAAATAAGGCTTTGGTGAAGCAGTCCCACTGGTTCGGCTCTGGCCCGTCTCCCAGTTCACACGTTGCGGTTAAAACAGTGATTCTGCTCTTGAGTGGGAGCTGATGCTTGGGAACCGATGACCAACAGAGCACAGCACAGTGAAGGGGGCAGTTTCAGCAACTAGTTAAGGCAGCTGAAAATATAACATTTTGGTCTTTACAGTCGTGACATTACATCATTATTTTTGCACATGCCTCACCTCATCTTTTTAGAATCACCTGTTGACACTCAACTAATCTGCAACCAAATCCCTGCCAGAACAACTGCCTTTGTTTCGTCAGACTACAACAGGGTGGGGCCCAAACAGGTTTATAGAAACTAATACTAGTATTAAGGGCTTACTTGCTAATAGTCGATACTTTTTCGCTGACAGTTAAAATTCGGCAAATCTCATAGAATAAAACAGTTATGCTCAGATTTGCATTCTTTCTGGGGTGGGAAAAAGCCACACACAATATGTTGATTTAGACAATATTAAACTTTAACACAAATAAAATCTCTTAATGTTCAGTCACTACTGAATACTTAATGTTGAAATTTAAATACCACTGAATTTGGAGCACTGCAGCATTACTTTGACCATCTATCTGAGTGTATGTTGTCTAAATTATTTTCTTTGATATTTCAGGAAGATAATTTCAAGTTGTGCAGTTTCAAAAGTTTGAAAACTTTTAAATATGTTTTCTTAGGGTTCATAAATTCAAATTTCTTAGACTTTTCAAATGTTCAATATTAAAAAAACAAACAAAATTAGGATTGAATTCAATTGGTCATTTTTTGATCTAAAAATTCTACAATAATAATAATAATTTCATCTGTATAGCACTTATCTAAACAAAATTACAAAGTGCTTCACGCAGTGCATGGAAATAAAAAAACAAACAATGATACAATATTAAAAAAAACGTTAAGAGCTACAAAAAATAGCGTGTACAGAGGCAAAAATAAAACAAAAGGAAATAAAATACAAAAGTTACAAATCAAAAAGTACAAATCAGGCATTTAAAGGGAAAGCTTTCCTATAAAAATATGTTTTAAGCAATGATTTAAAATCAGGTAATGTGCGAGCCAGCCTAATTTCCTCAGGCAGAGAATTCCAGAGTCTCGGGGCCTTGATGGTAAAAGCTTTAGTTACCAACCTCAAGGGTAGGGTAGGCTAAAGGATCTCAGGTCACAACCTGGAGCATAGGTAGTCAGAATCTCAGCTGTATAAAAGGGGCCTAAATCATGCTGAGCTTTGAAAGTTATTAGAAGAATCTTTAAATCGGGTAATAAGTGACCTGCGATTTGTCCCAGTAAAATACAAACTGCAGCAAAAAAATAAATAAATAAATAAAATAAAAGTTAAATGTAATGTAATTGCATTTCATTGTAATGTAATAGTAATAAGTAATAATAAAAAAATCAAGTTGTTTAAATTGGCTTGGTGAAATTAATACCAAAAATTCAAATAAAACATTCAAACACATTAGGATAATTGATTTAGCCTGGATGGAACTGATCAGGCCTTCTTGCTAATAAGTTACATGTTGTCATATGATCCAAGAAAATGGACACTAATATTAACTTTCTCAGAAAAGCGATTTTGAAGTCGTACAAAGCCAATTTACCATTTAGAAAAGGAGGGGAATTCAATTAATATACATTTTAGATAGATAAAATATTTCAATACAATGAATTCAGTGGTGTTAAAATTTCTACATCTCGCATTTTGTACAGAATTTTATACAATTAGGTATTCATTATGCCTAATTATATGCAGTTATGCAAAAATGCAAATAGTTTTGGCTTGTCTTTGCTCCCATAGCGTACTCCAGTTGAGTATTATTAAGTACCGCCACTTTCAAATTAATATAAGTATGGTATTTTTATTTAGTGTCCATTTCATGCTCAAAAAAGTCACAAGACAAGGGAAAAATGTGCAGTTTATGTGGTTCAATATGTGCTCTATTTTAGTCGATATGAGCAAAGATTCCTCCAAAAATGGTCCCTTATAGCCAAGAGCCCATGAGTTAGTATTTCCTATCACAAATTTGAAATTTGTTCTCTTGAATGATATTCTCTTGAATATGTTTACTGGGGGATCAACGCAACACAGACATATCCTCTTATATGTGGATATGATGAACTCATTATCAAGGTTGTCCATGTACACATCCATTTTTTTTGCACAAAAACAAAACTCTTTCATATGACCTACTTTGTCATTTCTTAGTGAGCCAGTCCCCATCTAAATAAGTACTGACAAAATAAGACTTCACTGTTCCAATCTAAACTTGAGGTCACTTGACTGTGCGGGCCACCATCCAACCTTTCTGCGTCTTACTAACGTTTCCTCTGCTGAGACTGGCATGTGACGCTACTGGATCTAGTGAATGAGTCTCAACAAGGCTGACAAGCGCTACCCCCTTCGGCCCCGCCACCGCTGCCCTCGACACAGTTTGATGAAGGTTAGATCTGGAGGCCTGTCAATCAAGTGACACAAGTGCTTGCCGCGGATGAGCTGTGACGCTCCTGCTGGTTGACTCTGTCCGCCACGTCTTGACCTCCGTGCTGTTCCTCTGCCTGTTCTCCTCTGCTACTCAGACTCAAGTTAGAAATTAGGGTGGCAGACGTTTCTGCAAGAAGCTCCCCAAATTAACAAAGTATGATTTAGGAAGTTTTGTACAGTTGGATGTAGTTTGTAGTGTGACGCTGCAATGTGATCAGAGAGCCAGTGAGCTTTGTTGCTTTGTGTGAATTAAACCACTATCAAAAATGTCCCTGGAACTTTTATAGATTTGGTTCAGTTTAATTCAGTCTATTGAAAGCGTAGTTTTTCTCATTCTGACAGATAATTGCGTTAGAATGAGTCAACTTGGGTCAATTTAACACAACAGTGACACACCTATGGCTACTGAGAGCTTTCCA